ATCCACAAAGTAATTTACTGAGGTTTTTATTGTGATTGTGTTGAATTTATCAGTCAATTTGGGAAGAACTGACATCTTAACAATATTGAGTTTTTGTATCCATGAACATGAAATATCTCTCCATTTACTTAGATCTTTGATTCTTTTTATTGGAGTTTTGTACTTTTCCTCATAGACTTTATACATATTTTATTAGATTTATACTAAGTATTTCATTTGTTTCTGGTGCTAACATGAATGATGTTTTTAATTTCAAAATCCAGTTGTTCATTGTTGGTACATAGGAAAGTAAGTGACTTTTGTATGTTAACCTTGTATCCGGCTACAATCCCGTATTAGCTTCAGGTATTTTCAATTCTTTGACATTTTCTGCTGGACAATCATGTCATCTAAACAAAGGCAAGTTTTTTTCTTCTCAAGAAGTGTATCATTTATCTCCCTTTCTTTTTTTACTGCATTAGTTAGGACTTGGATTATGCTGTTGAGTAGGAGTAGTGACAGGGAACATCCTTGTCTTGTATTTTATCTTGGGAAGGAACCATCTATTTCTCACCATTAAGTATGATGTTAACCAAAAACCAAAACCATACTCACTGCTGTGGAGTCAGATCCAACTCATATCAAACCCCTCCTTGGGTTTCCGAGGCAATATCACTGCGGAAGTAGATTGCCCAATCTTCCTTCCAAGGTGTGACTGTTGGGTTTGAACTGCCAGCCTTCTGGTTAGTAGTCAAATGCCTTAGGAACTACACCACCAAGGATGTTCTTTATCAAATTGAAGGAATTTCCTTCTATTCTTAGTTTTCTGAGAGTTCTTATGAATAGGTGTTTTACTTTGTCATATGCTTTTTCTGCATCTATTGATATAATTATAGGACTTTTCTTCTTTAAACTGCTTATGTGATGGATTATATTAATTGATTTTTAAATGTTTGAACCAGTTTTACAAACCTGGAATAAATTTGACTTGGCCATGATGTATAATTCTTTTTATACATTATTGGCTTTGATTTGCTAGTATTTTGTTTATGATTTTTACATCTTTGTTCATGAGACATATTGGTCTGTAATTTTCTTGTACTGTCTTTGCCTGTTTTTAGACAATACCTCAGAGAATGACTTAGGAAGTATTCCCTCTGCTTCTGTTTCTGGAACAGATTGTAAAGAATTAATGTTATTTCTTCCTTAAATGTTTGGTAGATTTCACCAATGAAACCATCTGGGCCTGATACTTTCTGTTTTGGAAGGTTATTAATTATTCAATCAATTTCTTTAATAAATTTATATTAACTTTATTTTCTTAGTTTTAGTAGATTGTATCTTTCAAGGAATTGGTCTGTTTCATCTAAATTACCAAATTTAGGGGCATAGAATTGTTCATAACATTGCTTTATTCTCCTTTTAATGTTCATAGGATCAGTAGTGTTTTTCATTTCTAATATTAGGAATTTGTATGTTCTCTATTTCTTGATTAATCTGGATAAAGGCTTATCATTTTATTGAGCTTTTCAAAGATCCAGCTATTTGTTTAATTGTTTTTTTTTCCTATTGCTTTCAATTTCTTTGATTTCTGCTATGATTTTTACTATTTCTCTTCATATTTTTTATGTGAAAAGAAATCATCAAAACTGTATTCTAGCAAGAATAAAATATGGAGTAATGTCATTTTGTACCTATTGAAGACATTTTTGTTGTTAGGTGCTTTCGAGTCAATTCTGACTCATAGCAACCCTATGTACAGTAGAACAAAACACTGCCCAGCCCTGAGTCATCCTCACAGTCATTGCTATGTTTGAGCCCATTGTTGCAATCACTGTGTCAATCCATCTCATTGAAGTCTGCCTGTTTTTCACTGACCCTTACTTTACCAAGTATGATGTCCTTTTCTAGGGACTGGTCCATGCTGATAACATGTTCAAATGGAAACCCAACTTATCCCACTGAGATTCCTAAAAAGAAACATGGCATTCCATACAGTTGAGAAAATGTGCAAACATAACCTCAAAACCTTAGCTTAATATAATGGGCCAAATTTTGTGAGTTTAATCCAATAGTTGGGTATATCCTTCATTGGTTCTTAACTCTGTACCTATGAATGGGATTTAAGATATCTATTAACTTACGGAAGGAAGGTTGGGCAATTTACTTCTGTAATGATACTGCCTTGGAAACCCAAGGAGGGGTTGCTGTGAGTCGGATACTTATTGACAGCAGTGAGTTTATTAACCCCCTAAAATTATACATAATTTTTTTGTATGCATACAGATGTGCATTTTTTAATGGGGAAAAGATCCATACCTTTTACTTACTTATCAAAGAAATACCTAGCTTTAAAAAGAAAAATAGATGTGGAGGGTACCATAGAAGGGGGCTGCAAAAACGGCAAGGAGGCCACGTGTTCTGACCTCCTCTAATCCCACGAGAGGAAGACAGGATTACCAGCAGTAACCCAAGGCCTATTCCTACAAGGCCAGACATGCTGCCTCCCTCCAGCCCTTTCTCCAACCGTTCCTCTCAAAACACCACCACCTCTCTCCTGGGTTCGATAATTCGCTGCAGTGGCCACACAGAGCTCACAGATTATGGGGTTTATTAGGGAAGCACCACAGGATACAGTTCAAGTTCAGGAAAAATGCTCAGTCTCTCTCCCCAGCCCACCGTCCCTCAGCCAAAAGTCTCTCACAGTCTCTTTCCCAGCAGTGCTGGTCCCTCGGTGTCTCACTCAGCAATGCTTGTCTCTTGCGTCTCTTTCCCAGCAACGTGTGTCTCAGGAGCCCTTGTCTCTTTCACCAGGTCTTCCTTAACCAGCAGTCAGAGAGAGAGTTCTGCCTCTAGGAGGCCTCCTTTTGAGCCCAGGAGGGTGGTCAAACTAGCCAGTCACAGCATCAGAACTCTAAGCACCTGAGAGAGAGTGGGAACCTATCTATTGTGCCACGCCCAACAGATATACTCCATGTGAATAACATTTACAATCAGGAGCTCCTCAGTTGCTCATTCCACCACTGAGTTTACAATGACTTATGGGTAGAAAAGCCATACTAAGTAATTTATTACACTGCAGGGGCTGAGAATCTTTGGTCTTCCTAGTGAATAGAACATTATACCAGTCATTTTGAAGTTTGCTCAAGGATGAGATGATCCTAATCTTTAGGGCAATAAATGAACTAGTTTTTTTTTTTTTTTTGAACTGTCACCATAAGCAACAATGAACTGAGTATTTTATGTGTCATAACACATTCATTCAATCTATATCCTGAGGAGGTGGGTTGTGGTCTTAACATTTTACAGATAGGGGTAACAGCTGTAGTAAAAAGCTCTTAACTTAAACTTGGCTCTGTTATTGAGTAGCCGGATGACTTCATATAAGTTCTGTGAGTCTTAGTTTCTTCATTGGTGAAATTGGAGTATTAAGACCTACTTTGAGGAGCTCTGGTTATGCTGTGGTTAAAAGCATTGGGCTACTAACCAAAAGGTCAGTAGTTCAAACCCACCAGCCACTCTATGGGAGGAAGATGAGGCAGTCTGCTTCCATTAAGATTTGTAGCTTAGGAAAACCCTATGGGACAGTTCCATTCTGTCCTATAAGGTCTCTATGAATCAATTGATTTGATGGCAATGGGTTTGATTTTTTTTTTTTAAGACTTACCTTGTGGGAATTGTGTGAGGATTGAAGAGATTATATTTGGGAAATGGTTTGTGGAGTAGCTGTCTTGCTCATATTAAACATGCAATAAATGCTAGTTATAAGTAACAGATTTAGAAAGATTAAAAAACTTGCCTTGGTCATAGCATAGAATAGTGTAATTTACTATGTCATTGTGGAAATCTGATTAAAATGTAATCCTAATCCAAGAAGGTCCCATCACTGCATATTCAAATCTAAAAAAAAAATTTGCTGGCAAAGATAGAGGAGCTAGGTCTCAGAAAAAGAATAAAATTGGTTTAGGATGGCCTTTTTTAGTTTAGAATTAAGTCCTCTGTCCCTAAGGCAAAAAATGTATGTAATGAATTTACTTTTCTCTTACTCACCTAGAAAATTCTAGCTGTATACTGTATATCATTGGGTGGCTTGTGAAATAGCCATTCAGAGCATTTTTTTTTAGAGCCTAATTCTCTTCTAGAACCCTGCTTAAGAAAGGCTGGTTTAGGATATTGGAGGGAAGGGAATGTATACAGAAGTATTTAAACAACAATGTGGAGGTAAGAATGCCTAATACTGTTTAGAGAACTGTAGATAGATTGTTGGTTAAAGCAGAAAATACAGAAAGTTAGGTAAGGAAAGTATAGACTGGGGTAGAATTTTGGGGAACTCTGAGTGATATTTCTGAAGGATTTTTCTTAGGAACATTTAAACCTAGTTTTGGATTGGGGGTAAGGGTAGATATATGGCAAGTATATTGTTTATGGAAGATTTACCTTGACCAGCAGTATACAAGACAGGAACAAATAGAGGCTGGAAGCAGGATAGTTACTGATGTAAATCTTGCGTGCTTGATGCCAAGTTGAGAACTATACCAACTGGGAAACTATTGAAGTCAATGTAGCCCAAAGTGGATTTATAGTAGAAGAATGTTAGAAATCTTCTTTTAGCAAAATTTTTAATAGCCACAACATTTTTATATAGACGTACTTTTTCCACGAGGTTTACTCTTGTGCCTTTCACAGAAGCTCTTTGAGGTGAGGTGGTTAGGCTGTAGAGCTAAGATAATGGCAGAACTAGGACTGTGTGATTACCCTTCTAGACCTCACTAACTACAAGCATTTGAAGGTGTGACTTTTCCTAAATATGGTACTTAGGACCTTTTTTTAAAAAAAAAAAAAAAAAAAAGGAACTTAGGACTGTCAGAAATCTGTAAATCCATACAAGCATACTATACATTGATTCATTTAAAATATGGACAGTTAAATTTTAAGATTACAGAAAATGGGTTCAGAAATTCTAGGCTACAAAGATTGCGGGCAAAATGAGCTGGCCTTTACCATTCTGTTTGCTTTTATAGGACCTAAGGAAAGCTGGATTGCTGATTTTTGCTAATAAACAAGATGTTAAAGAATGCATGACTGTAGCAGAAATCTCCCAGTTTTTGAAACTCACTTCTATTAAAGATCATCAATGGCATATCCAGGCATGCTGTGCCCTTACTGGCGAGGGGTAAGAATTCTTCCTCTTAAATAACATGTATTTAGCTTAAAAGATGTCTTTCTTCTCAGAATCAGTAAATATTTAAGCCTATCACGTACAAAGAATTGGAGAAATATAGTGCATGTCTGCTATCAAAATTTTTAGTATGGTCTGTTGAGAGTAAAACAGCATGCACATAATACACACAGAACATACATGAATAGATGTTAGTTTATATACAATATGGTTTTTATATAATATAGTTTATATACAAGATGTTAGTTTATATATAATATGTAGGCATGCAGAGAAATGAGAGTGCCAGGAAGAGCTAGAGAAGTCAAGAAACACTTCTTAGAATGATAGTGAGACTTCCACTATAAGAAAGGAACTAATGTTTGCTTAGCGTGTGCTGTGTCCTCAGTGCTTTCCATATGATGTTTCATTTAATCCTCTTAATCTTGTAGGTTGTATTGTTTTTAATTTGCATTTTACAAGTAAAGAAGCTGAAACATGGGAGGAGAGGATCATATGTGAGACAAGTTTGAGAATACGCTTTCTTGCCACCAGTGTTGTTGAGAGAGAATTTTTGCACATTTAAAAAAAAATGGGTTAGGCCTTGGGGGATTGTGGTATGAGAGTCCTTGGTTCTGGAATGAGAAGTCTTTGTATTTACAGTAGAAATTCTAGTTACAGTTGAAAATTGCAGTGGAATTTTGTCCTGAGCTCTGGTGGAATAGTGCCTAAGGCACTTAACTGCTAACCAGAAGGCTGGCGGTTCAAACTCACCAGCCACTCCTCAGAAGGAAGGTTGGGCAATTTACTTCTGTAGTGATACCACCTCGGAAACCCAAGGAGGGGTTGCTATGAGGCGGGGCCAACTCCATGGCATATAACAACAACAACAACATGATGCTCAGAGGTGAAAGGATTTCAGGAAGGAAGTGTAGTGGTCAGCATTGTCAAATGTAAGATCAAGAGCTAGTAAGGTGAAGAAAGTACCATTGAATTTAACTGTGAATAAGTAAATTCAATCAGGTAGGTCAGAAGCAAATTCTCTGTACTGGCAAAGTGGACATGTGCAAGTGCACTTTAAAGGGGAAGTAGATTTTTTGAAATATAGCAGTTTGGGCAGGAAGGGGAACAAAATGAGATTAAATAGAGGAAGTTAAAAATAGGATAAAAAGCTGAAAAGATGAACCTGGAAGACATTAGGCTGAGTGAAATAAGTCAATCACAGAAGGACAAATATTGTATGAGACCATTACTATAAAAGTCCAAGAAAAGGTTTTCAAACAGAAGAAAGATCCTTTGATAGTTACCAGGGATGGGAGGGGAAGAGAAGGAAAAACACTAGATAGATACAAACATACTAATTTGGGTGAAAGGAAAAGTGAAATAAAATAAGGGGGAGATCAATATCACTAAGGCAAAGGAGCAGTGAGAGGTGCATGAGATTTACAAGCACAAAGGTAAATACTGTTACATACACTATTCTGCAATATCTGAAATAACAATGATCCAAAAAGGAAAAAAAAAGCTAAAAGTAGGAGCAAACTAAAATAGAAAGTTGTTCCAAAATATGGTGTCTCTGTATATATTTAAAAGCACAGAGAAAGAATTGAACTAGAGATACGAAGAATTCTAGACCTCTAAATAGAGGTTCTAAATTTTAGATTGAGGTTCTTTAGGTGTTAGGAAAGGGCAGAAGCTTAGGGCTTAGAGATGAGTTGTTAGCTTAAGGACAGTGGGAGCCATTGAACGATGAACTTCTGAGGCTGAATATTATTCAGTGAGATAGAAGACACTTCTGGTGGTATAGTGCCTAAGGCATTTGACTGCTAATCAGAAGGCTGGTGGTTCAAACCCACCATCTGCTCCTTGGAAGGAAGGTTGGACAATCTACTGCTGTAGAGATACTGCCCCAAGGAGGGGTCGCTATGAGTCAGGATCGACTTGATGGCAGTGATTTTGGATTTTTTGGTTTATTACCTGATTGGTGTTCCTGGATGGTACAAATGGTTAATACACTTGGCTGTTACTCAAAAAGTTGATAGTTCAGATCCACCCAAAAGTACCTCAAAAGAAAGGCCTAGTGATCCACAAAATCAGCCATTGAAAACCCTATGGAGCTCAGTTCTGTTTTGACATACGGAGTTACCATGAGTCAGGTCAACTCGACAACAACAGTTGGTTTATTAACTACTTACAGCAATTTGGAAGAATGTGATTGGGACCTTAATAAGGCAAATCTGTTCATTAAAGAATCACATAATACCACTTGTCCATATATATCTTTTGTCTTTCAACGGTCGTTAAGCAAAAACACTGATTATAGTACTAAATTTGGCAAAAAAAGACAAGTCATCTAGGATTTACATATGATTTAATTTATATTTATGTTGTTAATTGAGTAATTGTGTGAAACATCTGTCATTGAATAGGATGGATATTAACTCTGGCAGTTGAATTTTTAAAAGAAAATTAATATATGTTATAATCCTTTCAACTCTTAGTTTGTTTGGACTTCCATTTGTTGAGAAAATGTTCTCCTTCTCATGTCTGGCCACCTGATCTAGCATTTTGGTTTAGTAGATTGAAGATCACAAACTATATTTAGGCCTGACTTTTACTCAACTGTACTATTTGCTAATCTCTAAACCTGAGTTTCCTCTGTAATATGGGAATGATTTCAATCTCAGTCTTGTGAAGATTAATTAAGGTAAAGTATGTAAAATGTTTAGCACAGTTTCTACTTTGCTATTAGGTAACTACTCACTTAAAAGACAACCATCTCCTTACCTTCGTTGTTACATTTTTTTTTACAATATCCTGCCTTTTTTCTTCAGTTTTTTATGATGAGCATTTTATCATAACATGAAAGCTCTGGTGGCCTAGTGCCTAAGGCATTTGACTGCTAACCAGAAGGCTGGCAGTTCAAACCCACCAGCCACTCCATGGAAGGAAGACTGGGCAATCTACTTCTGTAGTGATAATGCCTTGGAAACCTAAGTAAAGGGGTCACTACGAGTCAGATCCTACTTGACAGCATTAGGTAAAAGTCTTTGAAAGGAAAGGTTTTTTAATATTGCATTATATGAATGTTCCATAATTTATTAAATTTTCTCTTCTAGATTTTTAAATTCTAATCTTTTTCCTATTAAAATTGCTCTTATGAATAGAATAATATGCAAATCTGTGTGCACCCATGATTATTTTCTTAGGATATACTTCTAGAAGTGAAGAAAGTTAGACTATAAAATCTTTAATGTTTTAGTAAATGTGAAATGATACCTTCTTTTAATTTCCTGTTCATAGATTTTCAGTAAGGAGCCCTGGTAGCACAATGATTAAATGCTCAGCTGTAAACCAAAAGGTGGGCAGTTTAAACCTGCCAACTGCTACATGGGATAAAGATGTTGCAGTCTGCTTCCATAAAGATTACAGCGTTGAAAACCATATGGGGCAGTTCTGCTCTGTCCTATAGGGTCTGTGAGTCAGAATTGACTCATTGGTAACAGGTTTGGGGGTTTTTGGTTTTGTAGATTTTCAGTTCAGAATTTAGTCAAATAACTTTATTTTCTTTTCAGACTGTGCCAAGGACTTGAATGGATGATGTCACGACTTAAGATTAGATGATTTCTACTGACCTCTTCTCATACACTTTGTATAAATGAAGTGCTGGACTTTATCTGAAAGCTGCAAAAATTAATGGTTTAGATATATTTATAATAAACTGATTTAAATTTTTTCTATAAGAAGAAAAATTAAGACCACTTATTTGAAAACAAAGATGAAGAATCACCTTCCAGTTTGCTTTCTCATTTGTTCCTTCCAAAGTAAGGTCTTAAAAGCTGTGATTGACTTTTTTCTCATAATGAATCCTCTCAGGACATTGTGTAGCCTGTGGTAAGTACAAAGGGAGAGGAGAACATTTTTACCTTTGAGAACTTTATCATCAGTATAACCCTTCCCTAATTGAATGTTGTTCTCTTATTCCATTAAGTCAAAGTACAAATCAGCACAGATACTCAGTTTCCAGTATTTTAAAATGTAATGTTGCTATTGAAAAGTCTTTTACGTTAAGATTGTATATGTATTGTGTATATACCTCAAGTTCAAATTAATGGCTTTGACTTACATTACAAGGAAAAGTAAATAACATGAAACCTAATGATATCCTTAATTATAACCATGGTGACATGAGTACTGGCATTGATGTTGTCATTTTGTGTTTTTCTCTTTATGTTCTCTGTATTGTACTAACCAATCCCAAAAATCATTGAACTGCTTTAAAAGAAAGGTAGAAGAGGAAGAAAGCTTGGTATTTTGTACATGTTTTCTTATTGATCAAATAACTTACAGAAACGTGTAATACAACTGAGTGGAATATATATAGAATATATCAAATCCTTGGCTTAGTGTTACTAATGGGCAGAATTGCACAGTGAGCAATTATCAAATTACTGCTTTTATTGGTCCATTGCCACGTATATTACTGAATAAACTGTTAATCCATTAATCAATCAATCATTGATTGTGATTAAAATTATCAAGTGATTTTTTTTTTCAGGATTAATTGAAAACTTGTGTGAAACATGTCTATCCAGAGAAGTAGCATTCTGTAAATATTATCAAGTAATTTAGTATTTTTAGGTATTAAATTACATATCAAGCATTTAAAGTGAATTTGAGATTAAAAGTAAAGCATATTTTCTGAGCAACAACAATTTCTTATTTTGTAAGTTTTGTATTTTAGTTTGAGATTTTTTATTTCCATTGGTTGTCTTCTACTTTCAGCACATGAGTACATGGTTTGGTAATTAGAAGACATGCATTCGTTCATTGCTTTTAAAAACACCTTTGTTCAATGGTTTAAAAATTGACATGATGCATTATTTTTACCAAAGTAATTTGGCCCATTTTACCTTTTATGTTTCCTTAAGTGTTTTTTTGTTTTGTTTTGTTTTGTTTTGAAGATTGGAAAGTTGAAGGTATTCCTTTCATTACTATAAAAAAACTTACTCTTAATGTGTTGAAACATTTTCTTGGGTACTCTCTGTGTATCTTTTATGCCCTAAAAATCTGACGGCTGATTGGAAGTGGTATGTTTTAGAATATTCAGGAAGAAAAAGTAAGTACTTTAAATTATAGCCTTTTAGATTTCATAAAGATTTTGGTGGGAAATAGTAGTATGTACTATGAACATTGACAAAACTTTGGAAGTTCATTTCAGTAAAATATAAAATGCTTAGTATCTAAATCCAAGTTTAAATATGAGATGGGAGATCAGTATTTGATACTGGATTTTTTGTGTTTTATGTTATAATGCTTAAAATGCAAGTATAATCTTTAGTAGTTGTCAACATGATTTTACAAAAACTTACTAAGCTTTATTTATTCATGTATTCTCAACTTTTTCAAATCACCATAAAAAATTACTTGTTATATATTTAAAATCTCTTAAAAACTCTATCTCATAGATGTTTGCATTTCATCACAGACAACTACTCTGTAAAGTAGCCCAACAAATGTGTACATTTTGTCCTCTTTAATTTGAATAATTATGTGTTTAAACCCTTGGGTTGCTGCCCCATCATCAGTTCAACAAGATAGCAGCACATTCCTTTGTCATCAGGGTGTTGGGTAAAATTTATTCTTAATTGGATGTTTAAAGCATGTAACATGTTACAGTTGGTTTAGTGTAATAGATTATTGATAAAACATCATAAGAATGCATGGAATCTTGTACCACATTTATAATACTTAATTTTTGTTGTACCTGTGTATTTGTATATAAAACAAAGATTATAGCTGGGGGAGAAAAAAATATTTAAATTCAGGTATGAAAATACCAAAATCATTTTGACAGTATTACTTCCAAATAGAGGGACACAGTGGTTAAGCACTGGGCTGCAGAGACCCTCATGAATAGTCATATTGGCAATTTATATGTAGTATAAGTGGAATTAATTAAGGGGTACTGCTTTTGGTTTTTCAATATGCTACTGTTTTGTGTAAAACAAACATCTTATTTAGGGTCATTATTCACATCTTTGAAAAGAACAGCTTCCATGGTTCTGTACATGTGGCTGGATTTAAATATCCTGTTTTTGATACTAATTTTGAAAGTAGTAAAACTTCTCTTGATATCTTGATAAAGGTAACCATGTGCTATAAGCATTTAAATATATTTAATTTGTCATTATAGCATTTATAAAGTATATCTTATATATTATATTGAGGGCTTATATTTGAAATTTCCATTCTCTTTAGCTTTCTAACACATCTTGACCTTCATGGTGGGCAAAGAATACAATAAAGACGAATGGGTTGGGGGAGAAGGGGAAGTGGCTAGGGAATTCATTTTCTTATATGACATTTTGCCTTAAGAATACAATATGCTTTAGCACTGAAGCCTGGCATTTTTAGTGCAGTTAAAGTGTTGTTAGAAGTATGGCATGAAATAGAGGGAAGAGAGTTTCTGTTTTCTGGCTTTTAAGAAGTGCCTAGTAGGTGGTCACAATGGGATTACAGAGAAGTGTAGGGAGCTTGAGGAAGGACATGAAGTCCCTGAGATTTTCTTTTCATTTTTGTCTGAGCGGATAGTATTAAGATGCCTAGAAATGGGACTCTGTTTTGCCCTCTTACAGGCACTTCACATTTCTTGCTGTCACTACAGCAACCACATACAGTACAGACAACCTCAAAATTTGTTTATATTAGTGTAAATAGAAAAACTATAAACAATTTTCTTATTTGCTCTGCAGGCATTTTTAGAATATATCTGGTGCCGTAGTTAAGCATATGACTGCTAACTGAGAACTCAGCAGTTCAAACCCACCAACCACTCTACGGAAGAAAGATATGGCAGTCTGCTTCTGTAAAGATTATAGCCTTGGAAATCCTATGGGTCAATTCTACACTGTCCTAGGGTCGCTATGAGTTGGAATCCACTCAACAGCAGCTTTTTTTTTTTTTTTTTTTTAATGCTCTTATTTTCTGTATAGAGAAATAGCACATTGTAGATTATTTGTGCAATTTGGGGTTGTCTTCTCTTAATTACCCAGTTATATGCTGGTGTCAATTGCTCTTTCAAGGCTGTAGGTAGAGACAAAGTTTTTTGCATGACTTAGACCCCTCCCGCTATTTAAATATAATATAAAACTTGTTTCTTTCCTTCAGGATTGGCTTTCCTGTACCTCAGCTATCCCTCACTCTCCTCCTGTATCCTCATTGTCACCAAAGCTATGTTATCTCAGTATAGAGGTATTTTAACTTTGCCTATATCCGTTCTTCCCCAACTGACTGTTTTCTAAGTAGGTTTTCTAGTTCCTTGCCATCCTCTTGCCATTGGCTTGATTTACTGATTTGGGCTTTGCTCATTAGAGAGCATTGTTAGAGTTACTGAGTCTCATCAACAGACCTGTTTGCTGCATGTGTAGCATATACATGCCAGTCTCACATAATCATTTAAATTATACTGTATTTGGCATTTTAATGCTTCTTAATTCTTCCTTCATATGCTCAGAAGTATCCAGAAAGATAAGAAAACTACCTAGACTCTGCACGGAGGGGATTCAGTTATATGTGTACTACCTTCCCATTAGGAGCTCTGGTAGCATAGTGGCTAAGACACTTGCCTGCTATCCAGACGGCTGGCGGTTCAAACCCACCAGCCACTCCTCGGAAGGAAGGTTGGGCAATCCTACTTCCGTAGTGATACTGCCTCGGAAACCCAAGGAGGGGTCGCTATGAGTCGGGGCCGACTCGACGGCACATAACAACAACAACAACAACAACCTTCCCATTACCAAGAATGGGCTGTATTTTGAAGAATACCAGTATGAACAATTCAGGTTTGTAAAAAGATGTCAAACCAAATTTATATGTTATGTTTGACCTAAAGCAATCCTTAAAACTACTGTCCACGTTCCATTTTTCCCCTCATGTCTACAAAAATAAGTATTAGATGTCTGAAAGAATTAGCAGTGAGGAGCCTGTCTTTACAACAGGCTTTAGAAGACATCAAAATAATCAACCATAATGTGTTGACTCTTCGTAGGTTTGGGCTTTGTGTAGGAAATATTTCTTACAAAGCTCTACTTCTATAAAAATAAAACTGCTGTATCGTGCTTCCTCAAATTTGGATTATTTTAAGACTGATGGTGGAGTAATGGAAAGTAAACTGGAATGTGAACCTGGATGCTAAAAACCTGACTGCTAATTGCTAAAATTATGTATGGAATTGTGAAGACATGTAACAGAGTACAGCTGGGATAATTATGCAGTATTTCTTAAAAATCATCTAGCCCTTATGTATTCTAAAAACTACACTTTAAATCTTGATCATGTTGCCTGTTGGATATACTGTTCTTTGGTAGAAAATCCCCATAGTTTGTACTCAGCAAGTGCCTAGAATTGATTTGTGATCATTTGTAAGTCCATCTAATAAATATGTGTTTTCTAAAGTACTGTATATGCTTGGCTTACTGACACAGTCCTGAGGGTTTCTTAATCATAATTTGTGCTTTATTTGAATAAAAAGCCTTAAAACTGAAGATACTCATCAGTAACCCTCAGCAAACCATAGTTTAAGGAAGCATGAGTGAAACCAGTTTGTTCCTTTTCTTGATACAAATATTCCATGATCTGGCATTAGTTAAGGCAGAGACTAGAAAACTGAACTCTAGTCCTGGTTTTTGTTTTGTTTTTTTTTTGAAATGGCTTTAAACACACAGAAAATTATGCTGTGTGTTTGAAAACCTGAATAAAAGTTTGTTGCATGTGTAAGAGTAGCCTCTTAATTCTCCTCATACTTTGTGTTGAGTAATTTTGAGTGTCATGTCATTTAGATCTTGAGCCATTTCATTTGTGTATGCATGCTATTATCTCCTGTTTGTTTAGATTTTACTTATAAACTAAAATACTTGATAGAAACATACTTATCATTTATTCAAGTTTATTCTCTGACCATAGAGTGTGACTGTAAACTCTAGGGACAAAGACTTAAGTGTATTTTCAGTGTTTTATAATTGTATTCATATTACAAGTCATGTTGCATGGAAAGTGCAAAATTTAGATGATTATAGATTATTGTATATTACCCTCTCTCCCAAGCACCTCACATTGGTAATATACAGAATTTCTCTGATTATTTTTCCTTGAAACTAGTCCTATTGATTAGAGTGGACATGTAGCCTTTTCTAACATCCCTGATACTAGGTGATGCCTGCAGGGACATTTTAAGCGTATTTTCTGGGAGAATGTCTAAGATAGAGTATTGAGGAAGA